TAGTCCTAGGACCCTGCGTTCACATTTCTTCTCATGTTGTTTCCTTCTAGAAAGGGCTCTGCCCCACGACTAACTTACCTGAGTGTTGCTGATGCTGATCTACTCAACCGGACTCGGTCTAGGGGCGGCAATGAACAGTGTCTCCGGTATATCACGAAACTCATCTCTTGCTTCCCCAGTGTATGTGTCCGGGATGACAAGGGAAACCTGGTCTCTTGGTCTCTTACAGACCAGTTTTCCACCATGTGCCATGGCTATACCCTGCCAGAGCATCGCAGGAAAGGTTACAGCAAGCTGGTGGCCCTCACACTGGCCAGGAAGTTGCAAAGCCGGGGATTCCCCTGTCAGGGCAACGTCCTAGATGACAATACAGCATCCATAAGCCTCCTGAAGAATCTCCGGGCTGAGTTCTTGCCCTGTCGCTTTCATAGGCTTATTCTCACCCCTGCAGCTTTCTCTGGCTAAGTTTACCTCTAGCCCATTGGAACTCCAGGAATTTTCTTCTTTTCCCTGAACATACGTACACTCTGTAGCTGGCAAAGAAGGGAATGTTCCAACTGGAATCAGAAGAATTGAAAAGGGCCTGGAGAAGACACGCAGCACCAGCCTGAGGAGCCTGCCTTCTCCCTGCGTCAGGGTTCTACAGGAAATAACCAGGGGCCAGAGACAGCAATGGCTGAGAGGAGGATAATTATCTTCCTTTGGGATGCACCACAGGAAAAAGGTTCACAGCCAGAAGTTCTCAGCCCAGTTGTAGAAATGACTGCATGGGAACAGTGACTTAACACAGGAGCATGTGGCTACGGCTTCCTTATTGCTGCCTGGGTTTCTGCTCTGGGTTGTCACAGCCACACCAGCCCCCCACTACCGTAAATAACACACCCCCAGCCTGCTGCGATGTCTCTCTAAACTCTTCCTACCACTTCTGATCCAGCTTCTCTGTAGAATACCCTGCTTTTTCCCCTTTAGTGACTGGTTTTCCACTTCTGCTTACAACTCAAGCCTATCGCCTTCCCTGGGGAATGTTCCAGTGCAGTGGTTCTCACATTTTCGTGCACTTCTGAATCACCAGGAGGGCACACTGCAACACAGACTCTGGAGCCTCTTTCCCCACAACCCCTGATTCAGTAAGTCTGCAGTAGGGCCCGAGAATTGGCATTTCTAAAAAGTACCTACTGCCTAGTGGTCATGGATGGAGGAAAGAAGATACAGGCATTTTAAATGCTAGAAACAGATGGTGTCAGCATAGGACTGGACCTTACCTATCACCTATTCCAGCTTCCTTGTCTATAATCTGCTTTCTCATAAGAATCTAAGGTACATCTGTAGGTGTGAATGTGGGTATGGAGATGCACACATAAATGTGCTCTCATAGATGCACTAATACATATATACGTTTCTTTCATATTTTATATATGCATATGTATAAACTCAGAATTCTGATAAGATAATAAACTTTAATTCATTGCATATGAAAAATTGAAGGCTCGGGGAAAATAAATGACTTTTTAAAGATAATACAATCAGTGTTCGACATCGAGCCAGTATGCTGTCATTTTGATTTCAATCTATTTTTTTGGTTACTAAATCATGTACCTTTTCTGAAAAGGAAATTAAATGCCTAAATAATTAAATAAATATTTTCATCAGCCTTTTATCCTGAGGTTTTTTTTTTTTTAATTTGGGTTTCGATTTCTTTTGTGTATATATATCTTTCAAGGATTGCAAAGGAAGAAATATGCATCACCAGCTAACTGTGTCCTTGCCTTTACAATAAAAGCCCGCACAGACTGAATGGTCAGATTGGTCTAGATTGTATAAAGTGGACTCAGACATAGAGAAGATATTGTTTTCTTATCCCAACAGAGGCCATAAAATCCCAACTACGAAGATAAAGGAAGATCCAACTTTAGGTGTTTATTCTGAGAGAAGTAAACAAACTGACTGAGACAATCATTTTAATAAAAAAACAAGACTCCTTGGGAGTGAATATATGCCTAGGTCATCCTGACTATTGGTTACCTGGAAACTTATGCTTGGTTTCAGAGGGAAGAATACCAAGTAATTGGAGTCCGTAAAGCTCTTGGGAAAATATGGTCTACTTTTTGCCCCAGGGATGCTCATTATCTTTAGTGTTGATTAAACATGATTATTCCTGCCTGGTAATGGCAATAATATTATAACCTTACTTTATTCTTAATAATAACATGCCTCTAGTTTGTCTAACGTTCAACTATGTGCTGATCATTGTGCTGAAGAGTAGATATATATATAACTTAATCCTTGTGAAAGATAGGAATTATCTTATCATGGGAATTCTGGCTGGGAGATGTCATGACTCATCAAAACTCATGCAGGCTCGAAGTGGCCACATCACGGTCAGAACCAGGTTTTGTCAGATTCTGAAGCCGGTATTGTTACTCATTATGCTCACTGGCCTCTGAAGCAGCTTGAAACTCTTTGGGGGTGATTATCCCTTTATGTCATCGCTTTCTGGATTTTTCACCACCTCCACCCCCACTCCACAGGGGGCTGCATATTTTGGAAGTGATTTTTTTCCCTATCAAATTTCACTACAACTTTATTCATTTTTTACTTTTATCTTCCAGAAACCATCCATGTTGGATATAATTGTTCAACTTTCAACCTTCTTTCTGACCCTTTTAAGGACTACATGCAGCAATTTCTGGAGAAAGGAGAGAAAGGTAAGGAGAAAAGAGCGACTCAAGAACTAGCAAGGGACTGGGTCCTTACGCTGATTTAAGGAACTTCGGTATAAAATACAAACCATTGAAGAATTGGAAGCAGAGAATTCATTTGCTTGGAAATTAGTCAAGAGGCAATTGCAATAGTCCATGCAAGAGATGATCCGAGTTTAGCCTGGATTTGAATGCTGGTAATGAAGTAACCATGACCAGAGGTAATAAGGAGGAAAAGTTGTCAGGATTTCATGCCTGCCGAGGATACTGAAAGAGAGATGTCGACAGTAACTCCCAGGGGTCTATGTTGTGAAACCTGTGGCTGGTGGTATTTTTCCACTGAGATAAGAGATACTGAAACAGCACCAGGTGTGCTGCAATTGGGAGAAGAAGGAATTGTTTGTTCAGTTTGGGAATGTTGAGTTTTGAGACCTATTACGTGATGGGCTCAAGTCAAATATCTGAGTCTCAGGGAAACTGTCTGTGAAAGAGGTTTACATTCAGACGTCATGGGGACATAAATGGTAACAGAAGCCATGTATTTGGCTGGAACTTCCTTGAGGACATCAACAATTTAAGGTTGAATGAAGGGGAAGGCGCTGGAATGGGAGGAGGAGTATAGGAAGGACTATAGGAAGACAGGAGATAGGAGGAAAGCCAGAAGATGATGTCATGAAACAGAAAGGAAAAAAATTCAAAACAGGGATGGTCAGTGGTGTCAAATTACACTGGGAGGCCAAGAATATGTAAGGAATGAAAACCTTACATTGCCCTATCAAATAGTTTAAATACATGTACCGAAAAGAAGCCAGAAACAAGAATGTATGCTGTACAGTTCTGTTTATATGAAGTTCAAAATGAGGCAAAACTCATCTATAGCTTTAGAAATCAGAAAGCACTTACACTTTGGGATAGTAACTAGAAAAGGAAGGAAGTGGCTTCTAGTTTCTGGAAATATTCTGATTCATGGCCTGGGTAGGTTATATAAATATGTTTACTTTGGGAAAGCTCAGCAAGCTATAGGATTATAATTTATGTGCTCTTCTGTATGGATATTAAATGGCAATATGAAATCTCCATGAACAGAATACAAGCCTGGAATCCGGGTGGGGGAGGGGGAAGCATATTCCCTTGACCCAAGAACTGCCCTTTTATATATATATATATATATATATATATTTTATTTATTTATTTGACAGACAGAGGTCCAAGTAGGCAGAGAGGCAGGCAGAGAGAGAGGGGGAAGCAGGCTCCCCACCGAGCAGAGACCCCGATGTGGGGCTCGATCCCAGGACCCTGAGATCATGACCTGAGCCAAAGGCAGAGGCTTAACCCACTGAGCCACCCAGGTGCCCCCCAAACACCACTTTTATAAAAATACATCTGCCTGGTACAATAGCAAATATACAGAGATTTCTATAAAAGGATTTCATTACACATTGTTCATAGAGATTAAAAAAGAAACTAAATATTTAAGTAATTCACTGATTTAATACAGGGCAACCATTCAGTGAAACTCTACAGAATACCAGAACCCTGCTTGCTGATATGGAAAAGATACATGTGATAATACCAAATGCAACGCAATGCAAAGCAACTGCGGGGAAGTCTGTAGCATCTATTTCAAATTCAACTGTGAAGAGAGTAAGCATATAGGTAAACACTTTTGAAGGTGGCTTTCACTGGGAAGAGAGGAGCCTCTCGTAAATGGTAGCAAAGATTTCATGGTGTGCTCACGACTACGCCCGATGATGAAAGGAGTCAGCATGGGTTATATGCTCAGCTCCCCTGAGACAGGTACCTGTCTTGTTTTGCAAGTGTCTGTGAATTTCTGCAAGAATGAATATTCACTCTGCCTAAGTGTGGGAAATGTAGAAGGACAACTGAGAATTCAACCTGCTCAGATTTGGGGAGCAAGATAAGACAGTGCAATTTGGGGAGGATATTACACATCTCTAAAACAGAATCTCATTTAATATTACAAGTTCTGATACTATTCATCTTACATTTTTAATCACTCATTTTTGTTGGGTGATTTGAGTTTTGAGCAAAAACATGAAGTAACTAGGAATTAAATTTCCTTAAGTTGTCTGTGACAAAACTTAAAGTGTTGTATCCATTGCCTCTATCCTCAGTAAACACTAGGAACAGGGAAAAGAAATAAAACTGAATGTAAGAAAAAAAAAAACCTGAATGTAAGATGGACCAGCATAGCACTAACTACAAAGATGATTCCTTTCTTCCAGGCTGGCATGTTTGCATTAAAATTATGTCAGTAGGGAAAATGAATATGTAGAAATATTAAATACAGATGAAATGGTTTGCTATTTCAGTACTGCTAGAATTAACAGCATTGTTCCCTTGTCCCAAGTTTCTAATAGCCCATGTTTCTCTATCTCTCATAGAAACCTTAGCTCCAACTATAAAACCCAGTTGCTGATACCCCTTTGCTTTATTATCACCGTGGCCCTTACTATACCTGAAGAAGGAGAGAAAAGAGGGAAAGTGATAGTTCTCAGACACTCCTCTTTTTATCACCTCCTCCTCCCTCGGGGAGCTGGAAACATGTATGTCACCAGACTTGTTACAATGTCGTTTACTTCTCAAGTGAACTTTTTCTTTTTCAATTAAATGGATTTTTTTTCTTTTTTTCACTTCTTATTCCTACCCTTGCGTGGGGGAAAAAAAATCACAAAAAAAGAATAGCTAACATCTGGGTATTCCTTTTACTGACTAATGTTCAACTTTCTCATTTGCTAACAGACTTGACATTTTTCCAAGGCAAAATATACTCTAGGTTTTAAACACTGTTAAGAAGCCTTGCTTGTACTAGAATAGGAATATTAGATGTTGGGTTAGCACCATGCAGTGATTTCAGAGAACACTAGATGTCAGAGTTTAGTCCTCAATGATTTCCCAAAGAGCAAGCCCTTGAATTCTTGCCAGTTGTTTCATTGGAATTTTTGCTGCAGGGGCACCTGGGTGGCTCGCTTGATTGACCATCTGCCTTCATGACCCCAGTATCATGACCCCATTTATCCTGGGATCATGATCCCAGGGTCCTGGAATTGAGCCCCACTTTGGGCTCAAAGTGAGGAGATTGCTTATCCCTCTCCCTCTGCCTGCCACTCCCCTTGCTTGTGCTCTCTCTATGTCAAATAAATATAATCTTAATTTTTTTTTTTCTGCATTTTGCTCTGTCCTCTGACCAGGTTCCCTGGGACAGAAAAGTTTATTCTAGGGCTTATGTGGAAACTAAATACATAAGAATAATAGTACAAATCCTGAAAAAAATAAAGAGTAAAAGGGGAGATTAACCCCACCAATATTAAAACATACAAAATGATTACATAATTTATACTATAGTAATAGTACATAATTATGCAGAACAACAGGACAGAAAAAAAATTAAAGGTCCAGAAGTAACCACAAGTATCCAGGAATGTTTAAAACTAGATCAAGAACGGCTTTTCAAATCACTGAGATAAAGATGGAATTTTAAATAAATGGCAATTTGTTTAAAGGGACAACTGGATAACAATTTGAAAAGAAGTAAAATAAAACTGGATTCATACTTCACACCTTAGACCAGAATAAATTTCAAACTGATCTGAAATAAATACATAAATAAATAAGTAGACTTTTTAAAAGAAAAGGGATACAAATACTAGAAAACATGGTTTAGTTTCCTTTTCACCTGGATGTGAGAAAAATCTTCCGAAATTTAGAAACTCCAGATTCAGAAGTAATGCAAGAAAATTTGATAAGTTTGATAAATAATCAAACACAAATGAAGAGAAACTATTCACAATTTATACCACACAAGGAGGAAAGAATGAGAAAAGCAGTATATATCAACACAGACCTCTGCTTATTTTGCAAACAGAAACACAGGAAAATTAAACCAAGAACTAAATTTTTTTAAGTAACCTCTAAGTAATGGAGATAGATGTGAGGATAAGACTTCTCTGAATATATCCCACTTACATAATTTTGCTTTTTAAATAATGTATGAATTTGGGATGTAAAAAAATATTTAGCTCATAGAAAGAGAGATCAAATATGATAAAATATTAGTGAATCTGTAAGGGCCTATTGACCCAGAGCGGCCCCACCTCGGGTGAACAGCCATTTTGTTGTTTATGCAGTAAAACTTAAATTGACCTTGCCCCCTCCCTCCAGGAACTTACTTAAAAGCAAGTCCGGGAAACCAGTCCCAGGTAATAAAGCCCAAGGACAAGGGCATGTCAGGTCAGGTGGAGATAACAGCCCGAATGCAGGGATGAGTCGGGTCAGGTGGAGACATCCAATCAGTAGAGTGCGCATACTGTCTCCCTAGCTACCAAGGGGTGTGGGCCCCGCCTTTTGGGCACCTTTTGGGTGCCAGCTCTGACCAAGGTGATAGGGTAGTTCAAATAGCTACTATGGGGTGAATTGTAATTCAATTGGCCACCCATGTGGGACCTAGCATGACTGTGCAGCTTTCTCTGTGTGTTACAATCTCATTGGCCACCTGTGTGTGGCCAGGCCCAACCACATGGCCTTTGCTCTATAAAAGTTATCTGTAAGGCAGGGAGGGGTCGCCTCTTTGGAAGAGACGGCCCTGACTGGTCAGTTTGATTCCCAATGCTTGGTGCGAAATAAAGCTTCACTTGACCTTTGCTTTGTATCAGTTTGCTCCTTTGATTAAGGACCCAACATTGGAGGCTCGTCTGGGATCAAATGATGAGAACTGAGACAGCATCAGAATTTCTGGGAAAAGCCTCTGGAGGTAAGATCTCCATATTTTATTCTGTGAGATCCGGTCTGTCTGTCTGGTTGTGGAGCTCCAGGGTATGGCCCACCAGGGAGAAGCTGGACGCAGCCATGCTCCCCAGGGCTAGAGTGGATGCGGGGATGCCCCATCCCTCTTCTGGTAGATCATCTAGGGTTTCAAGTCCCTCTAGGCGGTCAGAGGACCGAGAAAATCCCCACCAGCAGTTGGTTGCAGGAGACCGAGAAAATGTCCACTGGCCGCTGGGGGTTGTCTTTGTCTTGTCTTTTTGTTGCCTGTTGTGTTGCTTGTCTCTAGGGGACTGAGAAAATCCCCACTGGCGAATGTCTCTAGGGGGCCGAGAAAACCCCCACCATGGGCAGGCTCTGGGTGAGGGGCCGCTGGGTCTGCAGTCGTTTTTGTCTTGACTTTTTTTTGTCTGTTGTGTGGCTTGTCCCTAGGGGACTGAGAAATCCCCACTGGTGCATGTCTCTAGAAAACCCCCACCAAGGGCAGGCTCTGGGTGAGGGCCGCTGGGTCTGGTTGTTTTTGTCGTGTCTTTTTGTTGCCTGTTGTGTTGCTTGTCCCTAGGGGACTGAGAAAATCCCCACTGGCAAGTGTCTCTAGGGGGCCGAGAAAACCCCCACAAGCGGCAGGCTCTGGGTGAGGGCCGCTGGATCTGCGGTAGTTTTTGTCTTGTCTTTTTGTTGTCTGTTGTGTTGTTTGTTGTATTCGAAGCAATGAGGCAAGCAGAGAGTAAGGGGACTCTGACTTTCATCTCTCCATTCCTCCTAATAGATGTGGGGCTTCTCCCTTGTCATTTCTTGTGTTAATAGCTGGCTATAACTGGAGCCAACTGTGGTTAGTCTAACTCGAGACAGAGACTTTAAGGAATATTCCCAAGCAGCTGCTGAAACTCCCTTTGTTTGGGGGATGTTCCTTGCCCTCTCTGGCCTGACGTGGACTGCCTAGCCCCTTCCCCTTGCTGGCGGGAAAGCATGGCGTCTGCTCCTCTCTTGGAGCTGATGAACTCTAGGACTGGGAACCCTTTCTCTGTCTTCTGGTGGCACTTTGTTCGTTCTTCACTGTTGGGAAACAAGAAGAGCCACCCCGGGACCTAACACCCCCCCACTCCATATCTTCCCACCCAGGTCTCAGGTAAACATTCGAAGTGGAGTGGGCCCAGGTGGAACGTAAATCAGTATTTGAACTAAGTTTGTTGGGTTAATTAGGATGAACATGTTTTTTGAGTTAACGGCAGTAATGTGAAACTTCAAAGTTTACTTAAGATCAAATAAGCTTGTGTTATTTATGTTAAAATCTGTGTTAAAATCTGTTGAAATCTGTTAGCAAAAAGATGACTAAAACTGATGGTTAATTGTCTGTCTCAAAGTTTTAATGGGTAATTGTTAAAGTAGCTTTCAAATCTTTGGTAACCTGAAACTTTAAACCAAATGGGATAAAATGCTAGAGCACTGGTTGCTGGAACTAGGTTTGTGCTTTTGAAACCTGTTGGTAAACATGTTTTGTGCTTAACTGATTCATAAATTTGCCTTCTAAGAATTCTGTTGCAACAGTTCAAAATTGGTTAATACTTAGTCTTCACTAGAGATTGAGATGTTTCTAAGAAAATGTAAATGGTTTTCTCTTTACCCGCCCACAATTGTAAGTGAGATTTCTTTGACTCATAAGGCTTTTCCTTGATATGCTAAGTTACTCAGGGAGTACTGCTAAACCAATGATAAACCTTGGGTTACATTTGGGTAAATGCTGTAACTCCTCTAGAGGGTCTATACATTTCCTAAAGTTTAATGTTTTGATAGGGTCATCACTTGATATTTAACCATATCTATTCTAAGTTTTTGTCATTTGTAATTGTTTTAATCCTCTTGTAAGATGAATTCTGCCTTAAAGGAAATTCATATGGGAGACTTTCAGGACAAATACAGGTCTTTGATATGTTAAAATCCTTGAACTGAAATGGGTAAGAATTTACAGAAGGAAAAGCTGCATTTGGACTAAACCAGAATTAGTAACATGGGACAAGATGAACTGAAATATTGTAATGTTGTGTCTCTTAATGTTTTGTCTTATTTTAAACAATTACTGATTCTGTAATGTTTGCTCCTCTAGACTAGGGAAACTTTTTCATAAGTTATCTGTAACTTACAGAGATGTAAAAGTATTCATTTATAAACAAATCAAGGCATTCAACTTTTCTCTCTATCTGAACCCTCTGAAACCAAAGGTCTCAGTAAGTATTCTTTCTTCCTTGGCAATCAGTCATTTGCATAAGTTCAATAAGAATCTGTTCTCCTTGTAACAGGACACCATTGGAAACACTGGTTATCTTACCAAGGCTTTGAGTGGAATGTCATATTTGAAAAAGACTCAGATATGACCAGACAGCTTAAAGGAGCCAAGGCTGACTTTATAAAACGTGGAGCCGTAAAGCTCTTTGGAACGGTTGGCCTGGTACCTTGCTTACAGAGTTCCCAGCAGCCTCACAGGTGAGTAAAGGATGTCACTTCCTGGTAGGCGCAGGAGCTTCATGAAATGTTGGGTACCACAGGAAGAGGAATTTGCCCAAATCGACAGTTATTACAGGCAAGTCTGATGGCAACTACGTGACTTGGCTTCTGGACCAGAGAGGCTACTAAAAGTTCAACCTAGAGATTCCTTTAAGAAGTTCCAGCAAAGCAGATTCTAAAAGATCTATATGATCACTTAATGTTCTTGCTGAGCTTATGTAAATAATTAGGCCAAGTTTGTTAAAACTGGATTTGTTTTTCAAATAAATTAGTCCTGATTTGGCTATCTCTGGAAATGAAGGTTATTTTAGAGAGAAAAATTTGTTTTAATAACACACCTTTATGGATGTTAAATTCTAGATTTGGTTTTCTTTAAATGTTTTTTTACCTAAGCTAGACAACTTGAGGAAAACATTAGAGGAAGATTTAAAATATTTACAAAAATGGGTTAAACTAGACTATGAAGGGGATTGGGTTAAGACTAGAACAGGAAAGTTAATTCTTCCTCAAAGATATGTTAGTTTTTGTGCATACCTTTTCAGTCTGGGTAGAGGCTTTTTCTGCCAAACATGAGATGACAGGAGTGGTAGCCAAAAAGCTACTAGAGGTTTGGGTTACCTCTTGCGATCGGGTCAGACAATGGCCCTGCCTTGTGAGTTCAGTCTCACAGGCATTGGCCAAAGCTGTGGACACTAGTTGGAGGCTACATTGTGCCTACTGGCCCCAGAGTTCTGGGCAAGTAGAGAGAATGAACCACACTCTCAAAGAGACCTTGGCAGAGCTAATTCTGGAGACTGGCGGTGGATAGGTGGATCTCCTTCCTATCGCCCTCCTTGGGGCACGATGTACACACTGCTTAATAATGTTCGGGAGACACCACCCCACATACACTCTGCCCTTGGCTACAAGAGGTTGCCCTAGCAGAAATGATTAAATCAGTCTGTACGCCAGTCACTGCAGGCATTACAGTCTGTCTTAGAAAGAACTCATGCGGGGATCCAAACTGCCCACACTGAGATGGAAATGGAGGTGGAGCCACATCCTTACCAACCCAGGGACTTGGTCTGGATACGCTGCCGCCAAGTGGGAGGCTTGGAGCCTTGCTGGAAGGGACCGTTTGCTGTCATCCCGACCACCCCCACGGCAGTGGAAGTTGAGGGTGTTGGGGCCTGGATTTGTGCAGGTTATGTCATATGAGCCAAGAATGAGGATGCCCCCCAGAGATGGATGCCACTGCCGGTGGACCCAGACGATCATGGACAAAAGCTAAGACTCAAAACAATGAGTTCATTGAGTTCACTGCTGCTCCTATTGTTAAAGTATAGGCAGGAAATATAGACAATTGCAAAAGAGAGGAGGGTTTGACATACTATTTCTAGAAAAAGGGGTGTTCTGCATTGCCCTAGGAGAAAATGCTGTTTCTGGGTAAATCACACTGGAGTCATTAAAAACAGGATGGCAGCTGTGAAAAGAGACTAGAAGAGTCAAGGATTTGACTAATCTCCAAAGAAAAGGGGGGAATGTAAGGGCCTATTGATCCAGAGCGGCCCCACCCTGGTTAAACAACCATTTTGTTGTTTATGCAGTAAAACCTAAATTGACCCTGCCCCCCCCAGAGGAACTTACTTAAAAGCAAGTCATGGAAACCAATCCCAGGTAACAAAGCCCAAATACAAGGGCGGGTCAGGTCAGGTGGAGATAACAGCCCAAATGCAGGGATGAGTCGGGTCATGTGGAGACATCCAATCAGTGGGGGCGCATACTGTCTCCCTAGCTACCTAGGAGTGTGGGCACCTTTTGGGTGCCAGTTCTGACCACGGTAATAGGCTAGTGCAAATAGCTACTATGGGGTGAATTGTAATTCAATTGGCCACCCGTATGGGACCTAGCATGACTGTGCAGCTTTCTCTGTGTGTTACAATCTCATTGGCCACCTGTGTGTGGCCAGGCCCAACCACATGGCCTTTGCCCTATAAAAGTTAGTCTGTAAGTCAGGGAGGGGTCGCCTCTTTGGAAGAGATGGCCCTGACTGGTCAGTTTGATTCCCAATGCTTGGCACGAAATAAAGCTTTGCTTGACCTTCACTTTGTATCAGTTTCACTCCTTTGATTATGGACCCAACAAATCAAGATGAGGGTACAGCAGATGTTTATTATATTCTTTCAACTTATTGTGGTTGAATCAAAACTACTGGTAAGAAGTGGGAGATTTGCAGGCTGCTCAAACTGTACGAGTGATAAACAAAAGTCACCACAAATTTAAATCCAAATTTCACCTTTTTAAAAGATTTTATTGATTATATATAATATTTTAATGTAAAATATTACAATGAAGATATTATGTTATTCTCATTTTTACTTGACTAAGGGCTTCTTCCTTACGTTCTCATTGGTAAATCCATGACTAGTAATTATAAGAAATATTGAATTTGCAATGTTTTATTCTACTCAAAAGCTTTAAACCCAGACATAGGTGACGATTTAGGTCATCAGTCGATGATGGGACTCTGAAAGGCAAATAATGTGGAAGTAGAAACAAAGAGTCCTCAAGGAGGAAAGAAAGAGGAAGCAGGGCTTCAAAGGCTTCAAAGGCAAAAAAAAAAAAAAAAAAAAAAAAAAAAAGATACATATGATAGAAATAGAAAACTAGTTAATTCAACAATGGTGTCAGGCACTATCCTGGTATTGGGGATAGGGCAGTAATAGTTACATTGCAGGGAACAAAATAAAGGAAAATCCCTAGTGGCATTAATTCTAGGGGAAATGGAATTTACTGTGTGGTAGGCACTGTTCCAGGGACTTTATGTATGTTAATTCAATCCCAACAACAATCCTAGGGACTTGGTGCTATTCTTATCCCACTTTTTGAGGAAGTAAAGGAAGGCAAAAAAAAGGGTATGTTGCTAAAGTCCCACAACTAATACATGGCAGGGTCAAAGGAGGTAACTCCACCACTCACACTCCTCTGCAACACATTAGAAAGTAAGGAAGGAGCTGCATAAAAGCAAAAACAAACAAAAAACAAAAACAAAAAAGGGGGAGAAAGTGCAGAGAACAGGTAGAAGAGACACAAAGCATTGTCAGAGGAAAGGATAGCTATCAGGAGTATTAAACTGAAAGAGAGCTGGGCCCTCGTTTGCATAGTCAGTTGAGTCTGGTTTCAGCTCAGGTCATGATTGCAGGGTCCTGAGATCCAGCCCTGCGTCAGACTCCATGCTCATTGTGGAATCTGTGTGCAGCTCTCTCTCCCTCTCCTGCTGTGTCCTCTAAAATAAACAAACTGCACACTCTCTAAAATAAACAAACACTTAAAAATAAACAAGTAAAATTGAATTTAAAGAACTGAAGGAGGGCTAAATTCCATGCCCTTAATGAATATTCAGTATTGGAAATAAGAACTTAAGACTGTCCTTAATACAAGAGCTGAGGAAAAGGGCAGAGTAGAACTAGGTGGTGGGTGTATTAATGACCAACTCAACCTACTTTACCACTTTACCCAAGCCTTGCCCTTGAGAAGTGAATTATGAGGTATGTGTAACAGAAAAAGAGAGATTATTACTAACAGTTACTTTGAGTTCGTTGAACATTCCAGATGAACTTGTTTGCAGACTTGCTAAGCAAGATTTGGTATTTTCTACCCACTAATTGCTTTGTTGATATAATGTAGCACATTATAACAGCTAGATATTTGGGAAATGAATTCTTTCTGGATGCAAAATATTGAGGATTTCACCATAGCTGTCATACCCTTACCAAGGGTATGATAAGATTACATGTACAAGATCACATGTACATTAATTAATGTAATATAATGAGAAGAAAAATTGCCTTGCCCCCCTGAAAAGTTTTTATTATAACTTAATCAAGATTGGGTGTTAAGATCATGACCTTTAATTTACTAACCCAGGTGATTATTTTATTTGAAATAATTCATAAATATTAATTCACCCACATTGAGTCCAAGATTAAATTATCTCTGGAAAACACTACAGGTTGGTGTTGAACAGGCCAACTTTTGTTTATGCTCAGGATGGTTATACAGCAAAGAACATGGGTTCTTCATTATCATCATTAAATGCTGACTCAATCACAAATGACTCAATTTCCTGTTTAATAAGTCACTTAGTCATACTCAATGAGAGGGCTCAGTGTTCTATCTTGATCTTTGACAGGAGAGAATGACGATGAATATACTTTAAAACTGTGGGTGATGCAGGCAGCTGACATGGAATTGCAATTTCAAAATCTCTTGTAAGCAGCCAGAGCTCAGAGCTACATGAATCAGCCCTTGCAGTTAACTGACAAGCCTGGCATGCTTCATTTTAACTCCAAATTTCAAAGTACCTGGCCAACATCATTTAGGGGTCACCACCACTCTATGGAATAAAAAGATAATACGCATAATGTTTCATTTAAGTATATGTATAATAAAAATTTTAAATATATATTTTAAAAATTTTATTATATATATTAAATATGCATATATATTAAATATATATACATATATATT